GCCTGGGCCGACGGCGCCCGAAGAGCCGGATCGCGGCGCTGCGGTAACTTTCCTGCGTCCGCTCCGACGCGGGGCCCGGGCCGGGAACGGGGCTGCCTGGAGTTGGGAAAGACGTGGTGTGGCCCGAGGGCTCCCCGAGTTCCCATCCCCCTCGTTTGGAGTGTTGGGGTGGGGGGCGGGCAGAGGAAGAGCTTCAGGACTGGAGCTGGGGCAGCTCCCGCGAGTTGGTGTGCATAGATGTGTGCAGCCTGTAGGCCCGAGAGGAAGCGAGAGCGCCCGAGTTTGCAAAGAGCTGCTTTGTGTTTGGTATTTTGAGAAAATGGCCGAATGCCTATTTCAGTCAGGAATGCCGCCGCAGAGGCAGGCGCTGGTGGCAGCAGCACATAGGAATTCGTGAAGCTCGGGCTCTGCTCGGACGGCCTTGCCGACAAATGTGGAAATTCCTTTAGAGATGGTCTTCTAGGGTTTGGGAGTGATTAGAAAAGTGCGTGTTTGGCTAAGTAGTGAGTTCCCTGTGCGGCGAGGCACAGGGACAGCTTTTAATGGTTAGTTTCCTGTGTTGGCATTTACCAACGACTCGGCCGGTTTGTGCTTATGAAGTTAAATGAAACGGTTTCTTTATTTTTTAGGTTCAACTTTACTTTTTAGTACAACTTGGCTCTAGTATTGCCGTGTCTGAGAGGTCAGAGAACAGCTAAAGCATTATTTTGAAAGTAACGTTGACGGTCAAGACCCTTTAACAAAACCCAACATGTTTTCTGGAAGGTGATCTTGTAATGGCTTCCACTAGGGCGAGGAGGCAAAGTCAAGCACAATGCAAAAAAGTTTCTGATAGCGGAGTGAGAAGTTTTGTACCTTTTTTTATCTAAGGAGTTTGAGAGATTACCCCTTTATCTTCTCTTAATGTTTCCAAAGAAGCCAGCGTTCCTTTTTCACAGGAAAAGGGTTCCGTGCTCGCCCCACCCCCACCCCTCCTTAAATCCGTGGAGTCATCGAACAATTTAGGCTAAGTGGTGGTTGTTCACAATCGCCCATTCTTCTGAAGTTAGTTGGCTTGATAGGAAATTTCATTAGGTCCACCAATCACTACAGCCTTCCACTCTCCGTGCTTGTGTGGTTTGGGGTCTCTGCTGGCTTGGTTCAGGCCAGTGAATGGCTGGAAGGACGAATGGGAGAACAGCAGTTTGTTAATCTTGTACTGAGTTTTAAAAATAATTTTAATTAATGTTAAGCACGAGGAGTATGGTCTCCCTCCCACTAGAAGCATTGAAAGCACTTGAGGAAGAGCATTCCAGTGAATCTAAAATTAACCCCTAGTAGACCTAGTTGATGTATGATTTATATGAAAACAGTGGCTAATCAGTTTTCCTTGTTGACTGCAGAAAAGAGTTGATGGCAAAAATGTATTTTGAAGGTTTGTGTTTAGTAGGTTTCAGATGCGCCTTGGTTTCGTAAAGGTTATATTGAACCGTTTATATATGCGTGTGTTTTCAGGGATGAATGACACTGCTGTTTTCACTGTAGTTACTAAAAGTGTTCTTGTTTGCTTGTTTTTGAATTCAGAATCAGCTATGGCCACCCAGGTAATGGGGCAGTCTTCTGGAGGAGGCAGCGGCCTGTTCACCAGCAGTGCCAACCTTGGCATGGCCTTGCCCAACGACATGTATGACTTACATGACCTCTCTAAAGCTGAACTGGCCGCACCTCAGCTTATCATGTTGGCCAATGTGGCTTTGACTGGGGAAGTAAATGGCAACTGCTGTGATTACTTGGTTGGTGAAGAAAGACAGATGGCAGAATTGATGCCTGTTGGGGATAACAACTTTTCAGATAGTGATGCAGAAGGTCTTGAAGAAGACTCTTCCGAATTAAAAGGGGAACCTCATGGACTGGAAAGTATGGAACTTGATGATGTTCCAGAGCCCCAGCCTCCATTTGAAGCACCTGCTGCCCCGGAAGTTTACAGCACCGAGAATAAAGATCCTCCTGCTGAAACCCCTGGCCCAGAGGACAAGTGCAAGAACTTGAAGACCAAACCTTTTCGCTGTAAGCCATGCCAGTATGAAGCAGAGTCCGAAGAACAGTTTGTGCACCACATCAGAGTTCACAGTGCCAAGAAGTTCTTTGTGGAAGAAAGTGCAGAGAAGCAAGCAAAAGCCAGGGAGTATGGTTCGTCCACCCCAGAAGAGGGAGACTTTTCCAAGGGCCCCATTCGCTGTGACCGCTGCGGCTACAATACCAACCGATACGATCACTATACCGCGCACCTGAAACACCACACCAGAGCTGGGGAGAACGAGCGAGTCTACAAGTGCATCATCTGCACATACACCACAGTAAGCGAGTACCACTGGAGGAAACACCTGAGAAACCATTTCCCTAGGAAAGTGTACACCTGTGGCAAGTGTGCCTATTTTTCAGACAGAAAAAACAATTACGTTCAGCACGTCCGAACTCATACTGGTAAGGACCGCTCTCTTTCCTGCCCCTGTATGTTCACCTCTGCCTAAGCCCTGAATGGTTCTTTGCCTCCCTGAAGTACCACAGTACCTTGCCGATCCAGCTCAACGCTTACAATATTTTGATATATTTGGCATATTAAGGCTTTTCTGGATAAATGAGGCATCTATTCATTTAAAAAAAATAACAATGAAGATTCTACGTACAGCCTACCTCGTTCACGCATTTAAAGCGTAATTTACTGGTTTAAAGTGGTTTAATCACAGGTGTGCAGCCACAACCATTTTTGACAACATTTTCATCACCCCAGAAAGAAACCTGCATCCCCATTAGCAGCCACTCCCCATTCCTCCCCAGTTTGAAATATGTGTTTATTTAAGAAGCATCATTTTTATATGTATATAAACTATTGGTAGATAATCGGCACTAAAAAAATTTTCCCATTTTCCTGGGGAGAACTGAGACTTGATTATTGCTTTAACAAGATGATTCTAGAGCAATCTAATTTTCTTTCTTTTTATAAAGCCTTTTATATGGGGCTCTTATAAGAATCCATAAATCCATACATCAATTCTTTCAAGCACATTTGTACATTTGTTGCCATTCATCGTTTTCAAAACATTTTATTGGGGGCTCATACAACTCTTGTCATAATCCATACATAACATCCATTGTGTCTTGTACATTTGTTGCCCTCATCATTCTCAAAACATTTTCCTTCTACTTGAGCCCTTGGTATCAGCTCCTCTTCCCGCCCCCTCACCCACCTCTTGAACCCTTGATAAAGTATAAATAATTATTCTTTTCATATCTTGCACTGATCTGCTGTCTCCCTTTACCCATGTTTCTGTTGTTTGTCCCCGGGGTGGGGTGGGGCGGGGTGGGGTGGGCGGGGTGGTGTACTCTAGTTTTCTTTACTCAGATTCTCGATCACCAGTGAAAGGGGGGCTGCAGGTGCTCTTTGTTACAGATCCCTTTGGGGAAGTAGGCACTGCAGAATTGAATGCCCAAAGGAAATGGGAGGATTTAAGGATTGCTAATGCTTTTGCATGCGGGACAGGTTTAAATAATAAAACAGTGCTGGAGGAATTTCATTACAAGAAAGACCCACAGCAAGCTTTATAAAGGCAAAGATTCTTTGGAGGGTCCATTTCACATTTTATGATGGAAGCTTTTTCTCCCCTAGGTTTACATGATTCTTGTGATTCTTCCCTGCTCTTCACCCCCAATTTACAAAAAAATACGAATTGAGAAATTGTGTAAATTCTCAAGAGTGCTAAAACCATAATTCTGAAAATAGAATTTATGGAAATTTTATCTGGTGCTGAAGAGTAGAGCACAAACAAACCAAACTCGCTGCAACGAGTCAATTCTGACTCATACTGCAACCCTGGAGGACAGGGTAGAAGCGCCACTCGGGGTCCCAAGTCTGGCACTCATTGTTGGGGGGAGAAGGGAAAATGAGGGCTGGTACCAAGGACTCAAGTGGAAAGAAAATGTTGGCAACATATGTACAAATGTGCTTGACACAATAGATGTGTGCGTTGTGATAAGAGCTGTAACAGACCCCAATAAAGTGATTTAAAAAAAAAAGTCTGTTCCTTGGAGCAGCTGAGGTGGTTTCTAATTGCTGAACTGCAGGTTAGCAGGTGCCCAATGTGTAAGCCGGACACAGAATCACTTTTCTTCACTTCTGAACTATTGTGGTCTGGCTTTTGATTCATTTAATGGATTTATTTATTTTGTTTTTAACAAAGTGCCTGGTACTGGGTCTTGAGAAAAAACTGCTTGACAGTGGTTTATGTTTCCAGAGGAAGGTAGGTTGAAAGTGATAGGCCCCACATACTCTAGCTAGATACTACTGGAATTCAAGTTCAGAATCTGTCTTAGGAGGGGGCTTCTGAGCTGCTTTTCAGTGCAAGACTTTAATTTTGGGACTTGATATTTAACCAGTTGACAAATCCTGCTTCAAAAGATCACAATTCCCTTTTCCCCTATATGTATAATGAGTTTATTCTGTCTTAAACCTAAAATGGCCTTTAACCTTAATGGCCTTAAATCTTAATGGGAGCAGACAGCCTCATCTTTCTCACGGAAGTGGCTGGTAAGAGGTCACCCACAGCTTTGTGTTCAGTCCCTGCTCGTCCTACAGGGCCACCAGGGCTTCTTAGTTGGTATTAAAAGGGTTTTCTATTATTTTCTTGTGGTAAATATATAGAGAGGTTTCCAGAAGTTTGGATTTTTTAAAAATCGTTTTATTAGGGGCTCATACAACTCTTATCACAATCCATACACACATCAATTGTGTAAAGCACATTTGTACATTCATTGCCCTCATC